GGTTGATTCTACTGATCATATTATCTGAACTTATAAATGATTTAGAACATTTCGAATATTTTCTAATGGAATCTTGAATGATGATCTAGATTTAATGCACATGTTTGTACATATTCTATAGGCAAGACCCGTGCCCTGGTGGTTTAGCTATATTGTCAAGAATTAGGACTCCAGGATAGTTTGGATGCTAAATCAAGTCAACCCAATAAGCTTTTGTAGAAATAAATAGTTTAATTATCTAGTTACAAACTGGGCAATCAAACAAACATTGAGTTGGGTCTTTGAGCTGTCTTGGAGTTTTTCGATGCTCGCATTTCATTAGATTTGTGTCACGGGTGCGATAGTTTGATTTGAAAAGCTTTGTGCTGATGTTTTCCCCCGGTGTGCTCTTGCTTCCCTTTGTTGCCGGTGTGACTCGATCGCGCTGATATATTGCTAGGTTTTTACTATGTGCATTGCTTTTGTGCACAGAGTGATTTGAAAAAGAAAAGTTATATCTAGTTATAGTGTGGTTGGAATCGCTGGAGGAGGAAATGTTTAAAAATGAGTAGAGGAAAATATGCGTGATTGCATTTTCGAGAGGACGTGTCTGCTTTTGGGGCAGTGCATTTGGTGTGGCTGGTGGCTCGCTCGTGAGTGCTGGCACTGCTATCAGGTAGGAGAGAATTTCCCCTATCTGGTGATTGTGTTGGAATGCGTGGGCGGGATGCTAGTTGCGCAAGATTGGGGTCGAATACATTATTTGCGGGATGCGTCCCTTCGAGGGAGTATATAAAATTTATTTTCATCGTTTCCCATTTGCCAGAGAGATGACCTCGAACACATAAGGTGGTTAGGTTTCTACGAATAAGGGATTATTATTTTTTTCATGTTGAAGCATGATTCGTTAAGTAAACAAATGTCGCGATCGAACATGCAAGCTTGGCACTCGACCGATTAGTTTTTGATGTGTTCTTAGGTGGGTCCTTAACACGATCATGAGGGCCATGGTTGAAGACTGGCGGTAGTCACGGTGGGTTGTGTTTGATTGTGTGGTTTAGTGGTTTTAATGCGGTAGTTTGACGCATAATCGGGGCACCAATTATACCGCACCGGAAATCGATCATAGTTTTACCGGTGACCTTCTTTCTTGTTGTACGATTTTGGTGGGTTGTTGACAATAGTTTATTATTATTTCTGAACAGTGTGACTACAGTGGCCGTTCGGATTATTAAGCGTATTCCACTGATTATTTTGATTAATCGGTTTTAGAACTATTTTGGACCGGTTTCCGTATCGGTTATAATTATCTCTGTTTATAATGTGTTTTGATTCAAAAAGGTCAATGGAGGCTTTATGGTGGTGACTTTTGCATTTGGAAGAGTGTCATGTTCCCTGTGTATGTGTTATTATGTGGTGTGTATATTTTTTCCTTTTATTACTTTTCGAAATTTTCCAAAATTTAATTAAGGTTGTGTTGGTGCTGCCATGGTGATTGTAATTGGTGAGCTTGTTCCAGTTAAAAACAATCCGTTTGTTTCCTGGCGGGATGACCTCGATCGCGCGTGATCTATTTTGCGCTTTTAGATGTAACATAAGAAAAGCGATACTGTCGGTAAGGTACGCATCCGAGTGCAAGAACATAGTTGAGTCTTGTAGGGGAAAATACATTATCCCAGGCTATTATTGTAGAAAATTGTATCTGTTAGATCTTGGGCGGAACGGTTCAGAATATTTAGAAAAATAGAGTACACGCGTGATCCAGTTTAGGATTCATTTTTGACTGCTCTCGAGAAAGTAATTTCACTTTAATATCTTGTTTAATCAGGGCCTTAACAATCGTTACGGTTGTCATAGCTTATTTTGATGCGTAAAGAGCAAATCTAAACATTGAACGTCGCGTGAAAGTGAAACTTAATGAAGGCCTAAGTGCTTTTTCGTAGCTTTAAGTTTTCGGAGTTGACAGATCGTCGGTTGCAGTGGCTTGCTTTCTGAGCAGAAAAACGAGGTCCCAGGTCTTTTCATATTTAAGAAATGTATGGTCAAATTGCTTGGTTATCGAAACTTGTCGTCGTCGGTGCAGGGTTTGAATGGTTAAAACAACTCGAGTAAAGATATGATGTGATATGAGGGGCTCGGTGGCCTTAGAGCGACCGTTTTTGCTTACTGAGCCGAACATCATGAGTCTAATCTTAGGCCCATCGACATTCAAGATTCGTCCAGCGCTTTATTTGTTAATATGACTACATGGTAATAACAGCAACTCGATGATTAAAAAGGAGCTCGTTTACCTTGTGGCAAACTATTTTGCTTACTGAGCAGAAGATCGTGGGTTAAATTCCAAGCTCCTTCGCGTTCGGACATCAATTCAGCTTATTGTTTACCAAATCGAACCCTGCTGCAATCCCAACCCTTTTACCCAATATCCCAGTGATTACTAGTGGAAGTGCAGAGGTGTTCTCGGCTTCCATCAAAGCCGACAACAAATTCCTACTTATTCCTTTCTTGACCTGTGTTCAGACGCGGTCGGCACTGGTATTGCCTAGTTTGAGATCGCCAGTTTTTACACATTGAGGATGATTGCTAGTCCCAAGTATCGTCTATTGGTTCTCTGTGTAATTACAGCTGATCTGTTAATAACAGAGTAGCAGCCGTGGGCGGTCAATCATGCTCATGCTACATCTTAGTTAATTCGTGGTATGAAAAAAAAAATACATCCTAGAGAAATGCTTTATTTTTTTCTATTTTCTTCAAACATCATTCGATTTTTTATCATGTTTTTACGACTAAAATGTCAAAATTTTTTGAAATTTTTAAATCTTTTTTTTTTAATTCTTAATTTTTTCTCTGTCTCAGAATCTAGGTAAGTTTACGACGATCTTGAATTACGATTTTATTTTGTAGTCCGGGAGCTTCAAGGCTTGTTTAAGCCCATGATCTCGAAACCTATTTTTTAAATCCTTGAATTTGGTTCTTCCAATTAAAAAAAATTGCTCGGATTTTTTCCTGGCATATTTATTTTCTGTAGTTTTTATGAAACTTTCGGTTTGACTATTCAGTTTATTGTTTAATTCATGTTCTAGATTTTTTTTTATAAAAGTACTCTCTAAGATCTTGCAATTTTATCATAGCTTTAAAATTAAGAGTTCTAATTTCGTGGACTGTTATTTACATTTGAATTCGAAGAATTTATTCTTACAATCCTTACAAGAGATATCTCGTATTTAGTCACAAAGTATTGATTCCAAAATGGGTTTGGGATCTCAAAACTATTTTTTTTATTTTAACTCTCCGAATTTTAAGAATAGTTCAGGGGCGTGTATCTTAAACAATTTCCTAAGTCCTATGTCTAAGATTTAACTGATGATTAGGTATTCAAGATCTTAAAAAGAAAATTCACGAAATTATCAGACTCTAATGTCATGGGAATTTGCTTTGTTTGAGAATCTTAAAGTTACGAAATCTGGACGCTATGCGATTTCATTGCAAAAAGGTTGAACAAACGATTATTGTTTGTTCAGAATCAGTATGTTTTTAAGGCTCCCCCAATCGAGGTCCCAAGGGTTGTTATGATATAAATATGTTCAAATTTATTTTTTCACCATTACCATAATTGTAAGTCTCACCGTAATTGGTCATATTATTGGTCGTAGTGGAAATATACTCAACAGGAAAAAAAACTTGCCTTGACGCCATTTGAACATTTGTACGAGTTTTTATCTAACCGTAGTTTAACAAAACAAAAAATGCAACAGCCCCCCCCCCCTCCTAGACCTCCTCTAGTAAAATTTTCTAGCTACGCTATTGTGGATTAATCAGGGTCTTTTTTAAGTCGTATTGGCTATTTTTTGGCAATTCAGACGATTCCAGATTTGTCAATGATTTGTTACTAATTTCACAATCAAAGGTTTTGTTTGGCGTTTTTAAGTCACACACTTAGAAATAACTACTTTTATACGAGACGTAAATCATGGAACGTAAACAAACATTTCATGTAAAATTATATGTTTCCAAACCGAAACATACGCCACTCGACGAAGAGAACGTTTGATTGAATTGATTTGCTCGTTTCTTTCAACTGATTTTTATGTGTGTGTCCAGTTTCAGGGCACTGAAATTTATATGACTTTTTCGTAGTGTGCATTTTAGACTTTTTATGGACATTTGGCCTTAAAATATTTATCTTTAAAATTGGTGGATTGTGAGTCAATGAAAATTTTCATAGTGGGTCGCACTCAATGGTAGTTTGAGGTTCTACGAAATTTATTTTTTTCTTTGTAGTACATTTTATTTTCAATTCAAATTTAGAAAATAGTTTCAACAGAATTACAGATATAGGATGTGTTCCACTACATAAATGATCAGAAAATTGAATTGTACGAAATGGGCCAACACGACATCTGATCGAAAGCCTTTCTATAAAATGTATCTACAATCGTGATCGTGCGGTTATAATTTCAATATTTGTATGGATAATCGTTAGGAAAATTTAACACTATTTTCGATAAGCAGCGCTTGATAAATTTTATTTCATTCCACATTCCATCACCGGTGTATCAATTTTGCATGAATTATTCAACATTTCAAACAGAAAAAAATGTTATGTCGTTTAAGTAGTATGAAACCATCTGCAGTTGCACTCTTTCTAATTAGATTGATACACTTTTCTAGGTTGATTATAAAAAAATAAATAAAACTCTTTCGATTCGTATATAAATTACCTATCGAAGTGTCGTCCTCTTTCGTGTCTGTCTGCCTTTGTACGATCGACTATCACTCAACCAACGGCGGCATCAAACAAAGAATGTGCATTACACTCAACCGCAAATATTTGCCGACACAACCGCATCTAACACACGGTGAATTTGACGAATAGCACTGCAATGCAATCTTAGTTAAGACCTGCACTCACTTCAGCAAACTTACTGCTATCGACAAACCGGCAAAACTCGTGCAACTGCTCAATTATGCTAGCAAGAGCGATAAGGTTTTAAATAATATGCAATTGGTGCGTCACTTACCTCGGGCTATGATGGTGGTTTCCTTCACATTCGGCAGCACGATCCGGACTCAGCAAATCATTTCTGCGAAAACAAAGATGGAAAGAGGAAAAAATGAACAATTATTATTTTTGATTATTACTCAACATTATGGCGGTCGCAGCGCACCGTACTTGACTGGCGTTTGCTATAATTTAAATCAAGATGTAAACAGAGATGTATCGCCCCAAACGCACCGCAGAGTGCAGATGGATGATTAGTGCAAAGCTTGATTAACGAGGTGCGGTTGGGGATCTCCGTCGTCCGTGGACTTATTGCGTCGTCGAGGAGCTATATTGCGAAGGAGTTTCGTCGCGTGGCCATGGTTTTTGCCAGGAATCAGAGAAAACTTTCTCCCCTGGCCCTGGCTTGTGACCACCGGACCGCGCAAATACCTTATAGGTAATGACGTGCCTGGTGATCTAAGGTTAATGATGCAATAGCTGCCGGCAGTCCCATGCCTTCGTTGGCACTGCTCACCACGTATGGAAAGCCTCATAAATGTACTTATAACGCTTATTTAAAGTCTTCCTTGGATCCCTTCGAACGAACGATGTGGACAGTAGTGTTTTTGCTTTGATTAAATCATTAATGGCACATTTGCTACGGTGGGGTGTGATGAAAGCGCCCATCACCTTTTGCATGAGTACGAGCGTAACGGGTAAGTGTACCAAGTGACTTATTTCGGTCGATTTCGATTCATCTGAAAAACTTATGTATTTCCCCAACGCTATAATACTGGAACCTGTTCTAAGATGTGAGATATGAATGATTTTTCGATGAGTAATATGGGTCAATGTTAGTTCTTCCAATGGCCTTAGTACGGGATTATTCTGTATTCAAATCTATTCATTTGGCTCGCTTGCAACGAAAGCAATGGTAGGTATCATAACGCTTAAATATTGATTGGCAATTCACAGTTCCGCGTCAGTAATAAAATATCATTGATTGAGCTACCGGCGGTGCTCGGTCGGTAATGAGCTGTATGGCAATGATGAGGATTTTATGAATCGGATGCAGCGTGGTAAAACCTGGGTGAATGTGATGAATACTAATCAGAAGAAGTGCCAGATGAATGTGTGTTGCTGGGGATTTCCTGGTGACCATGATAGGTGATTCTTTTTTTTTTGTTTTTTGTTGGATGCACGTAATGTATAAGAAAGATTTTTGAATTAAAAAATATATGTTATTTTAACCTTTCACGGTAAGCTTATTACCAAGTCCTTAAACAACATTAACTACGAATAATTCAATATTTAATAACCGATGATAATAGGAAGACAATCATTAGTTGGAATAATGTCAAATAATACAAAAATTTCTCGCGTAACCTTTGAAAAGGACCTATCATATTATGTAAACAACTTTTTCACGGGAACCAAACAACCAACAACCCCAACGGGTAGAGGAAATTCTCTCCTTCCCGATTGTGTTCTTGGTTTGCGTGGGCGTACTTCGGATCTCAAAAAAAAGTATTCCAAGATTTGTTTACAAAATATCATAGGTCCTTTTAAAGTGTTGCGCGAGATTTCATCAAAACGATACACATAAATTCATTTGGGGCATCTTGTTCATATTGGTCTTTTCAACTGTTACCGATACAACAGGCAGCAGCTGCTGTTCTCTCGGCGTGGATGACGCGTTCATATAGCCGATAGAAGCTATGGTCCCGATTGTTTTGTTCATTGCCTGCAGCTTGGACGGTCGGTGAAGCAAATTAAATTTGATGATGCCTGGAATTGAGGGCAAGAACACCGTTTGTTTTGACTTCGAAAATGTAAGTGCAAGACCGTACTTGGGCAAAATTTCAAATTTCGTCAATACGCTGGATGCGAATACTGCTTAAATGGAAGCAAGTTATCGGATATCGGACGAGAAAGCCCTGTTCATCAAGCTTATGTCGGAGGAGTCTGCGCTTAATGCATTAAGTAGCAACAGTGGTAAAATAGGGTGTGCTCTCGCTTTGCTTTGATGCCGGTGTGACTCGACAGCGCTGATCTATTGTTAGGATTTTGCGATGTGCATTGATTTTGTGCACAGAGTGATTTGAAAAAGAATAGTGATATTTAGTTATTGTGTGGCTGGAATCGCTGGAGGAGGAATTGTTTACAAATGAATGCGTAGAAGCCTCGAGAATACATTGCCGGACAAATTGATTTGGTGAGTACGTTCCAGTTGAAGATTGTTCTTATACATTTCTCCATTGCATTTTCGAGAGGACGTGTCTACTTTTGTGGTCAGTGCGTTTGATTGTCGGTTTGGTGTGGGTGGTGGCTATCAAGTATTTGATGGTGGTGTTGGCATGCGTGAGAAAGATGCCGGTTGCGCCAGATTTGGGTTCGAATGCATTGTTTGCGGGAGAGGATGCGTCCCTTTGGGTGAGTAATCGAGATTGATGTTAATCGTTTCGCATTTGACTGACGGATTACCTCGATCGCGTGGGGCATGTTCCTCGGTTTTTACGGTTTTGCGCCTACGAATAACGTACGTTTTTTCATGTTGAAGCATGATTCGTTAAGAAAATAAATGTCGTGATGGAACATGCAAGCTTGACACTCGACCGATTAGTTTTTGATATTTATTTATTTAATAAGTCATCTGACACAGCTGTCTTAATGAATGAACTATTCGTCTTAAATAAGGTTCAGTCTTCTTAATCTATTTACAAATTGAGGTGTGGAAATACCAAAAACAAACGTGGACTCGACGGATATAAACATACGAACCATTGCACAAATAGGCTGGTTGTAGCCATAAAGAGTACGATGAAACCTCGGTTGCATCAGGGATTGCTGACGTAACATCCTACCTGAAGCACGGAAATCAGCCAGTGACAGAAGATGAGAGCAATCGACGTCAACTTTGAGTAATTTAGTTATAAACGTAGTCTGTTGTAGCTTACGTCTTCGATCAAGCATTTCGAGGTCAAGCAGACGGCATCTATCGGGATATGCTGGAAGGTTCAAAGAATCACGCCACGGTAGGTTTCTGAGCGCAAGTCGTATGAATCTTTTTTGCTCACGCTCGATTCTTAGATTCCATGATACGTCGTTTGGAGCCCATACAACTGAAGCATTTGCTAGGATCGGCCTTACGAGTGAACAATACAATGCTTTTATACAGTGTGGATCCGTGAAATCCTTGGCAATCTTAGAGATGAAGCCAAGTTGACGATTAGCCTTGGAAATAATCGATGCATGATGGGAATGAAAGGAAAGCTTCGAGTCCAATACGACACCAAGATCCGTCACATGATCCACTCTGCTAAGAACAGTATCATCGATGTGATATTCATAAATTAATGGGTCTTTGGACCGATAGAAGGTCATCACATGACATTTCGCAAGGCTGACGACAAGCTTGTTCGAGCGGCACCACTGAACGAACATGTTGAGCAACATTTGCAGGTGAAAACAGTCCTCGATGGAGCGTATCACCACATAGATTTTCAGATCATCAGCATATACGAACTTGCACTTGTGGCCAAGGGTAGATGCAGCTTCATTGAATAACACAAACAATAACGGTCCCAAATTACTTCCTTGCGGGACACCGGACGTGCTAGCAAATGACGATGAAACATAAGATCCGTGTTTAACGTACAGCGTTCTGCCAGTCAAGTACGATGACAACCTCGACACCAATCGATTTGAGGTGTGTCCTTAACACGATCATGTGTGAGGTGTGTCCTTAACACGATCATGTGTGAGGTGTGTCCTTAATACGATCATAAGGGCCTTGGTTGAAGACTGACGGTAGTCACGGCCGGTCGTGTTTGATTGTGTGGTTTGGTGGTTTTTATGCGGTAGTTTGACGCATAATCGGGGTGGTCCGGTGAAATATGAAGGAGGAAACAATCGTTTTAAAACGCAATAAAGTTCCATCGAGACAGCTTAAAAGATGTGCAATATTTGTACGCTGGTAAAATCGTCACGTCAGTCGTAGTTTAATTGGTGAAGTAAGGGGCACGGTAGCTCAAAAATGTGAAAATTTTATGGAATCTTTTCCCGTCTTACGTAAGGGCCAAATCGAAACAACGAACGTCGGGTAAAAGTAGAATTTAATGAAGGCATATGCACTTTTTCGTAGCTTTTTTGTCTCCATATTCAAAAGATCATCGGTCGTAGAGGCTTATTCTTGTGTAAAGAGCACCGCCGTCGAGTTTGAGTTTGAGTAAATCACAGGTCCTATCAAATTAAAGAGACTTATAGTAACATCGCTAGATTATCGTGTATTTTGTGAAACTTAACATCGTCATCAACGTCACCGTCGGGGCCCGTTTGGAATGATTGCAATAGCAACGCGATCGTATCTTGTATGATGTGATCTGAGAGGCGTGGTGGCCTTAGAGCGACCATTTTTGCTTACTGAGTAGAACATCATGAGTTTAATCTAAAGCCCCTTAATGTTCAAGATTCGTTAATCGCTTTATTTGGTAATGTGAATACATTGGAATAACAACAAATCTGCCTTATGGCGTATTTCAGTCGTTCGTTACATACCAAGGGAAAACGTAGTCATGTTTTGTCGCGTAGCGTTATGACTCTGAGATGCTCGATGACCCTGGAGGGATCGATTTTGCTTACTAAGCAGAAAATCATGGGTTTAATCTCAAGCTCTCCATCATGACTCTTAAAATGCATAATCACTAAACAAAATGAATAATTGTTTAAATAAGCAACACATATTAGCATCGCCAACTTAAGGCGAATCCTAACCGAATACCTTACCCGAACCTCCAACTCCGTAGCACTTATGAGGGTGTCGCTAAGTCGGTGGCCTCTCGTTAAGTAAGTAATACATCAAAATTTCCTTCCCTATTCCTAGTTATGGTAAAGATGGGCGTGGCCGGGAATAGCGACAGTCAGGCTTCTGGAATTCTTGTTTAGATTGGAATCAATATTTACTCCGCAGCTTTATTCCTGTAGTCTGACTGAGGTTTTCATAATAGTCGTGAGTGTTGATAGTATCCAATCTACGAAGTATATCATAACAACGCTAACGCTATTTGAACCAATCAACTGATGTACAAGATACTCCAATTG